GCTTCCTGTTGTTTCAGTCTTAAGGTTGCTTCATGTTGTTTTTCCAACTCTTCTCGCTTCATCTTCGCTAGGAGCAGCTCTTTGCGGCGCTCACTGGGGGTCAATGATTTCATTGAGCTTTGCTTACTCGACCCGGATTTTGCCGATTTTGATGAAACTTTTGATCGACTAGTTTCACTGACGCAGACCTCTGAAGCTTGATTAGATTCCATATGAGCGCGAGCCTTACCAGTTACTTCATCGTTAACTTTAACTATCCTATCCCACCATGCAGCCAACTCCGTTAATAATTTGCTATGGTTATCGGTTTTATTAGCTAATATCACAAGTTCATCATTTTTAGCTAATGCTTTTTCGAGAATACTCTTGCAAGATTCAATTAAGGCGTTTATTTTTGTTTTCCGAATTGGTCCCTCTAAACTCTCAGTTATGCGACTGTGAACTACGGAAAGCTCATTTTCTAGTGATGTTCGACCATTCATCAATCGACGATATTTTAACTCAATTTGTTCTGTCATTTTGATTACTTTTAAACTTGTTCACTTCTACTCAACCGCTCAACTGCTCAGTTTGAGAGAAAAAAAGGGCAATAATTAATTTAAGACCTTATATTTAGTATTGATAAATTATATTCTGACTCATTAAACAATATCACACCTTAGAGAAGCAATTTATTTATTTCCTAGTGCTGCTCAGCATTTCTTCTGTTTCGATTAGCTTGCCGCTTGCGTTTTCCTGGCTTAGGAGTATTTTTCTTGGAAATAATGTACTTCAAATTCTTGCTATAACGCCTAAGGATCGTAAACGTTTTCAGTTCTAGAGAGGGATCCTGGTGTAGTTCTAAGTATTTTTGTCCTAACTCAGTGAGGTTCTGCTTCCTTCTAGATATCAGGTCTGTTACTATGTTAATAACTAATATACCTGACTCTTTCAACTTACTATATATATCTTCCGTGCCTACACGTTTACAGTAAACGATTGCATAAATATTACGTTTATAGTTTAAAAGAACCTTCTTAAGCACGTTAGGAGTTAGTGCGTTAAAGTTATTACTACGGTGTCGACTAATAGAGTTATTAACAACGTCGTGCCAAATAACAATGTCGGTTCGGTTTAAGAGATAGTGATCAAGTTGATACTGACAAGTTTTACGAACGTTCACTGCGTTATGGTTGAAACTTAACCCGGGAATGGCTAAGCACGATTGAGATACACGCTTTTGCGAAGCGGGGGACAGTTTTTTCAAAGCGTGGTGCAGCGAGCTAGCAGCTAGTATGAACATTTAGTGATTTAAATCAACTTAAGAGGGAGGGAATCAAGCAAAACCGCGACCTGACCTCCCGCAACACCCTGAGCTAACAAGGTTGTAGCAAAAGGTAAGACGATTTGCTTAATAATACGCTACGGGTCTGGACTACGGCTAATTTTATCCAATTGAAATAGTTTAGTTAGCTGCACCACGTTTCAAGAATAAACCCGGCGTTTTTTCAGATTTTTTTTTTTTTTTCGAAAATTTCGGATTTTTTTCGAAAATTTTCCAAAATTTTTTTTTTTTTTCGAATTTTTTTTTTTTTCGAAAATTTTTTTTTTCCACGTTTTCACCCAACGGTTCAAGTTCCAACAATAACCTGATGCGTTTGCGAAGTTTTGATTTTTTTTTTTTTTTTTTTTAAGTCCAACACTTGGGGCAAAAAACTCGACTCGGTCGTTTAAATTAAATTATTATGAAACTAGGCGCTTTGCTGAATAATTTGCAAAACTTTAAAATTTTTGGAAAAAAAAAATCAAAAATTTTCAATTTTTTTTTTTTCAAAATTTTTGCCCTTTTTTTTTCGATACGGTGTTGAGCTTAGAAACACGGTGTTAGGATAACGTAATTAAGGTTTATGAGGCCGGTTTTTTCCTAAACCCACAAAAAATTTTCTGATCGGGTTTTGGTATAGAGAAAAATTGGGGGTTACGATTTTGCCATCAAAAAACCTCGCATCAGAATTTAAAGCATCAAATCAGCAAGTTAGCACAAATGGATAAAGTTTTGGTTTTTTAGTCTTACAAGTTTTGTAGAGGCGTTCACCGGTAGAATCCAAATTCCACAGAAAACTTCGAGTGTCGAGAAAAAACTTCGAGTGTCGATTGAGATACACGCTTTTGCGAAGCGGGGGACAGTTTTTTCAAAGCGTGGTGCAGCGAGCTAGCAGCTAGTATGAACATTTAGTGATTTAAATCAACTTAAGAGGGAGGGAATCAAGCAAACCGCGACCTGACCTCCCGCAACACCCTGAGCTAACAAGGTTGTAGCAAAAGGTAAGACGATTTGCTTAATAATACGCTACGGGTCTGGACTACGGCTAATTTTATCCAATTGAACTAGTTTAGTTAGCTGCACCACGTTTCAAGAATAAACCCGGCGTTTTTTCAGATTTTTTTTTTTTTTTCGAAAATTTCGGATTTTTTTCGAAAATTTTCCAAAATTTTTTTTTTTTTTTCGAATTTTTTTTTTTTTTTCGAAAATTTTTTTTTTCCACGTTTTCACCCAACGGTTCAAGTTCCAACAATAACCTGATGCGTTTGCGAAGTTTTGATTTTTTTTTTTTTTTTTTTTTAAGTCCAACACTTGGGGCAAAAAACTCGACTCGGTCGTTTAAATTAAATTATTATGAAACTAGGCGCTTTGCTGAATAATTTGCAAAACTTTAAAATTTTTGGAAAAAAAAAATCAAAAATTTTCAATTTTTTTTTTTTCAAAATTTTTGCCCTTTTTTTTTCGATACGGTGTTGAGCTTAGAAACACGGTGTTAGGATAACGTAATTAAGGTTTATGAGGCCGGTTTTTTCCTAAACCCACAAAAAATTTTCTGATCGGGTTTTGGTATAGAGAAAAATTGGGGGTTACGATTTTGCCATCAAAAAACCTCGCATCAGAATTTAAAGCATCAAATCAGCAAGTTAGCACAAATGGATAAAGTTTTGGTTTTTTAGTCTTACAAGTTTTGTAGAGGCGTTCACCGGTAGAATCCAAATTCCACAGAAAACTTCGAGTGTCGAGAAAAAATGGGTGTCCACAATCCACAATCAGGATAACTGAAGGGCCACTTTCGGCTATTGCACAGTTTCTGCCAATTGGGTCAAGTTTGGACAAATGTCGACTAATTGGACAATTTTTGCCAATTCGGATACTTCAGGGCAACTTTCGGCTAATTGCACAATTTCGGCCAATTGGGTCGTGTTTGGACAAATTTCGGCTAATTGGTCACTTTCGGCCAATTGGGTCGTCTCTGGAAAAATTTCGGCTAATTGGTCACTTTCGGCCAATTGGGTCGTCTCTGGAAAAATTTCGGCTAATTGGTCACTTTCGGCCAATTGGGTCGTCTCTGGAAAAATTTCGGCTAATTGGTCACTTTCGGCCAATTGGGTCGTACTGTCCAGAATATCGTCCTGAAAATCCTCTGGAATATCGTCCGGAATATCGGGTCCGGGTCGGCGGACCAAAATGTGCCGCACTCTCGTATCCTGTAAGATCTACAAAAACCTGCTTCAAAATCTGTAAATTATCGGCAACTTAACAGATAATATGAAGAGTAAGTAATATATGACAACAATCAGTTTAACATTTTCGGTTAGCATTTTAGCAATACGGTTTTCAACAATCTCAAAAATCTATAAACATTTTGATGGCAAACTGACCTTAATCGGACAAACCAGTAGTTTTTCAAGGCCTTTTGTCTAAGCAAATCTAATTTTAGCTTTTTCACTTTCGCGCTATAATGACGTCATTAATTTAAGCGCGAACATTTGTTATGTCTAAAAGTTTATTTTGAACAGTTAGTTTTTTGTTCGATAGCGATGTTGAAACTTCTTCCAACAATGTGAGGATGGCGTCATTAGTGCTCCTTTTTGGTCTGAAGCCAAAGTGAGTGTTTCGGATGATATTAAATTTGTCTGCATAGGATTGGACTCGTCTGAAAATTGAACGTTCAAAAAATTTTCCCAGAACTGGAAGAACCGAAGTTTGTTTATAGTCTGAGGGGTCATCGATTTTTCCTTCCATGAAAATTGGTACAATTTTTGCAATCTTTAAACAGTTTGGATAGATTCCTGAGGTTAGGCAGTCACTAAAAATTTCAGTCTAAGGGCCTTCTAGCATATTCTTTAAATGCTTGATGAGAACAGTGTTGATATCATAGCAATCTATACTATATTTAATTTTTAGTTTCTCAATGACTTCAATACCTTCAGTCGAATCATTTTTTTTTTTCAAAAACAACGATGGCTGCTGAAGGATAACATTATTTTCCATGCAAGTTGGTTTTTTTTTGAAATTCTGGCGCCAATATTTGCAAAGTATTCGTTAAAATGCTTAGCGTCCTCCTTGACGGTAGAAACGACCTGACAAAAATTCTAAAGTGGCATTTCAACTTTGAAGTTATTTTTTAAAACCACGTTGCGAATTTGAATTTACATTAAAAAACGTTAAATAGCTGAGTGTTGTAAGCGTAAGCAAAAACGCTAGCCCTACCAGACGTCCAATG